AAAAGGCTCATTGCGCCCGCCTGTATCCAGGATCGGCTGGCCTGGGAACGCCTTGGCATTCCCCCGGAGGAGCTAGAGGAAGTGTCTGGAGAGAGGGAAGTCTGGGCATCTTGCTGCCCCCGCGACCCGGTCTCGGATAAGCGGAGGAAAATGGATGGATGGATGGATGAAAAATAAACAACTGAATGAGGCACTCAAGCAGGCCCGCCTGTCTTACTCATGCCCAGGATACGATGACCCCATAAGCACACCCATGCTTCCATTAGCCGTGCAGCCCCCCACCCAACCTCCAAGCACACGTCACACACAGGCATATGCCATAACGCCCATTTGTGCACGATGAAAGAATTCTCATCTCCCACACAGTTAATCCAAATATAATAAAATAAACTCAAGCTCCATCACTGAAATTCAACCATAGGGACTTCACATTGTTTAACAGACCAACCCTGTGCTGTCTCCCTCCTCCCACATTCACATTATGAGGACTTGTGATTGTGGTCACTGAATTCTAGGGTGGCAACATGATTTAAGGTTAGAGATTATGTTAAGGTTATGATCAGGGTTAGGTGTTAGGCAAGTAGTGGTTATGGTTAAGATATGGATAAGTCTACAGGAAATGAATGTAAGTCAATGAAAAGTCCCCACAAGGAATGAAAACACAGTGTGTGTTTGTGTGTGCTGCTGTTGTTGGCCATCATCAGCTGGTCTGAAGTTCACTGTGCTCTACATTTTGCAGATGTTGAAGACTGGTGAAAGTTTGTAGTATTGTGCCCCCCTGTGTTAAACATGTGTTATGAGAAAGCATTTTTCCCCATTGTAAAAACGTTTACATAGTGAATAATATTTCATATTTGCAGGTGGAAATCATTTATTTCTCTATGTGTTGGGTCACATCAAAGCTAAACTAGGAAAGTGGGCTAGCTGATGGAGACAATAAGGTATTAAAACAGATGTTATACTACATTCACAACAGGTTTATAACTTAGAAACTGACTACACAACTGTATGATTTTATAGTCATAAGGCTTTGCATAAACAGGCATTTTTAGTCAAACTGCCTGAATAGTAGAAGGCCATGTAAAAGCATGCACTGGTGGTTAACTGATGGTGGTTAAACTTACAGAGTATAAAGAGCAGTCTTATTTTGTTTGTGTGGGAGTAATAATTTTTCAAAACTGTGACTGTGTAAAACAAACATCCATACCTATAAAATGTCAAACTTTCTACATCACTGAGAAAATAAGATTGGAGACGTGTTGCATCTCACACACATTTACTGGATGATAGTAAATGCTAAGATGTAGCATAAAAGCAGCACGATGTAGAGAGGAGTCACTACTGTATGTCAGTGAAATGACTTGCACAGCCATATTTAGGAAACATTAGAGAATATTTGGCAGCATTGGCCACTGGGAGACGCTTATTGGACTGCTGTGCTCTGCTAGCATGCTACTTGTTATTGCAGTTGTCTTACATACCACGCTGACTGTAGGTTTGACCAGGCCGAGAATGCTTTTGCTCAGAAGCAAATAATTATTGGAAATGATGTTTGTGATTTTATTTCAGTGGCATTTTGTTGTTTTAATTTCATTATATATTATATATACATTTTTAACAAACATGCTTAAAATGTCACACATAAAAAAAAATCTGAGGGGAGAATTTGGTTAAAGTTCAAAAATTTAAATAATTAAGTTAAAAGTTTTGAGGATCATTCTATGGTTTTAAAATCAGGCTGAATACTGTACCTTTGTAAAATACATTTGTATGAATAGTAACAAAAGTTATAATGGATGTTGGCTTTTTCTTTAACAAGTTTAGCTCTCTCATTATTTCTGTTTTTATTAATTGCCTTGAAATAATATTTTAAATTTCTCAAAAATGTCTTTGCATCATCAGCCCTGTGATAGACTCGTGACCTGTACCTGTCCAGAGTCAGCTGTCGGCTGGGATTGGCTCCCCCCCGACCCTCTTCAGGATAAGCAGTATAGATAATGAATGGATGAATGGGACGTCATAGCATCTCTATTTAATCTGGTTCATTTTTTTTTTTTATCACACAGCATGTTGCCATCTGCTCAGCCTAGCTAGTACTCACTGACATAGGCTTTACATGTGTTTTATTTCATTTTCTTGAGACTCTTACCGCTGATGCACTGGCAGAAAGCACATAATTTCGAGGCCTTGTCTCCTGAAAATCAGGTGCAGCCTATAAACAAGAGCAGGGAGGAGGAAACTCATGTTGGCACAGTCATGCATTTACAACCATTAAGCAGAAAAAAAAAAGTTAGCCAAATGCAAACAAGCATAAAGAAATCCAAGCAGAAGAAACACAAATGCAGATCATTTAGAATACGTTCAGCGCAGCAGGCAATGTAGAACTGGCAGTATTCACAATATTTAAAGGGCAGTACAAATTATCTGCTGTACGACTGTTACAAACAAAGGCGCAACAGTCAGAACTGCAGACAAATTGGTATCCCGGTAGTACCTCTCGCTGAGAATAACCCTGATTACTTTTAAAGCAATAAATAGTTGGGGGTCAGATTATATTCTAAATTTTATGGATCAACTCACTTTTATTGTGATATTGTCACCATCAGTGTTGCAGAGTAACTAGTTTCTGTACATATAACTAGTTACAAAATAACTGTCATTCTAATCAGTTACAGTTGCTAAGTAAGAACAGTTACTAATCAATGTTAGTGATCACAAAGGAGTTACATCTGCATGTATTCTTTTCTGTAGAATACAAAATT